AGGTGAGAGAAATAGGGGCTGGAATTCAAACTTATAGACCATTTCAAAGTGTTTTCTCTACTATCAGGATACTGCAAATGCCATTTCCTAGCTACATTTAGAAGCTAAGTCCAGACCTTGTGCTTAGCTGAACTGCTGTTTGAGGAAAGATGGCTGAGAAGTTTTCTTTCAAATTACAATAATAAAAATCAGTGTGTTTTGCTAATTATGACATAGCAAGAGGCTAATCTTCCCAGCCCGAAAGTCTGCTGCACTCACAACAATGTCCCACAAGAGGAAAAACTTCCCTAGAGTCTCTGTGTTCAGGGAAGTTGTTGGGAGGTACATTTTACAAGAGAACACCGAAATCCACTGCCAGGGCTGAAAGGTCTGACTGTCCACCACGTGGCTGCAGGCTTCAGGTGGGGAGTTTGCTAGCCATAGCAGTGGCAAGGATTAGGTGGGTGAGCTCTCTTCGTGTTGCACTATGTGCTGATGAGGGCTGCTTGCAGCCTTCTCAGCCCCTTTCCTCCTTGTAACCCTGGCATGAAAATAAAGCTGACCCAAGGCGCAGTCCTTTTAAACGCTTGCCTGGCTTCACCAGTTGCTTTTATTCTGCTCCCACTAGGATCCCCATACAGTGGTTGTTTTGGATATGGTAATCTATGCAGAGGCTCTGGGTTTGCTGGCCAGTACGAATTGCTGGTGTCGGAGGCTGGACTCCCTTAGACTGACCTGCCCCAAGCAACGTGGTAAAACTAAAAACAAAAGCGTTGTGTTTCCAGAAGTGCAGGAGCCAAGATGTTTTGGTTTCCCTTCCTGCCTGGAGCAGCATTGTTCTCTTTGGAGGAGTTAGATGCAATTGCCTCTTGCAAAATAGCATTAATATTTTATCTTCCCACTTCTATTGTTACCAGGACCCAGAGTGGGGTGGAAACTCCTTTTGGGGGTGTTTATTGATGAATGGAAACAGGAAAAAGCCCAGCTCCATTCATTTTTAGGGCTTGTTTACACAGGAACCATGACAAGAATATATCCCAGTATAGACATTCCATTCCAGAATAAAGGCAATTTTATTCCAGAAAAATGTCCACATGGGGACAAAACGGGAGGTATCCCAGAAGCTGGGCATGTGTAGTTTCCAGTCCTTTTTTTCTGGGGCCAGATATTTGCAGAATGTAGTTGACATGGTGAAGGTCTGGGTCTCGAAGTTCCCAGAAATTTCAGAAGTGCTTTGTTGGAAGGTTTCCAAGCCTTCCTTCGTGGCTGCTCTCAGCTCTCCTCACAGGATCTTGACGTGGCTGCTGCCCATATGTACCCACTGCTTCTCAGCAGAGGTTTTTGTCACGTCTCTTCAGTGTGCGTGAACAGACCATGTCCTCACTGTGTCCACGCAGCACAGGGGAAACACTGGCGGCCGCATTCCCGTCTGGCAGGTAAATAAATACCTTTAAACTAAATTCCATCTCCAGCAACTGTCCAGGCAGCCACTGGCTATTGTGTACACACACGGGACTGAGTCAATATTTATCCCCTGGGTAAATAACAGACCTAGTGTGAACTGCAACAAGAGGTTGGTTTTTTTCTTTTCTAAATATCAAAGCTGCACAATACAAACCCTGCTGTTTGCTGGTTCCAGCCTCAGCTGTTTAATGCTTTGAGTCTGGGAGAATGAGACTTTTAGTCACCTTGATAATGTCTAGGCAACTAGCTTCCCACAGAAGATGGGGCCTGTTCTGGATTCTTTAGCCTCCTGTCCTCTGTCCATTTCTGGCTTTAGTTTCCTTGTCTCGTCCATTGTATGCTTTTGGATAGATATTTGAAGTCATTTTATATTGCTTGGTCCTCTCATAGATCCTTGGGTAGTCAGACAGCATCACTGGTGGGGACAAGGAGATGAAGGTAGGGAGTTTCAGCCCAGTGTTACAGCCTCAAGTTGCGTCAGGAGGTTTAGGTTGGATATTAGGAAAAATTTCTTTACTGGAAGAGTGGTCAGGCATTGGAATAAGCTGCCCAGGGAAGTGTGGAGTCCCCATCCCTGGAGGGGTTCAAAAATGTAGATATGGCATTTTGGGCCATGATTTAGTAGGCATGGTAGTGTTGGGTTGACAGTTGGACTTGATGATTTTAGAGGTCTTTTCCAACCTTAATGATTCTGTGATTCTATTACACCTGACTTCACTTTCCTCAGGCTCTGGTATGTGTAATATACCAACTCTAGATGCAGACATCTCCCCATCGTTGCCAGCTAAATAATTCCTCCTGGTGGGGCCAGCCCAACAATCATGGCCATCTTCTGTGGGGTCTTGGTGTGCTAGTGCACTCATCTGCTTCAGGCAGAGGGGTCTTGCTTCTATTTTACAATTAGAAATAAAGCCAGAGAGACGTGGACCCTCAGAAGGCCAAAGGCAGAGCAGCCTTAGCATCCTTAAACAGAGGCAGAACAGGACAGTGCATGTGAGGCAATGTGCCAGGGTTTCTGGGTCCTGGAGCCCGACTTCACCCCCAGTGCTTCTTCACAGCTTTGGCACTTTCAGGGAAATCACTAGTCCGTCTGCTCTTGGCAGTCTCCGCCTCCCCCTGGTCTTGCCACACCAAACTAGCTCCTCTCTGTAGTTTAAAAAAAAAAGGTCATTTTATTTAAGGAATTGAATAAAGGAACCTGCAATTACACAGCTGTGGTTGACTTTTCTTCCCTATTGCAGGAGTAAAGGAGCAGGTCTCTGCCCTCTTCTCCACCCCAACTGATAGTCCCTCTGTCCATAGCTTTCCCCTGTCCCAGACTTGTTGTTCATGTTTCTTGTAATCATCATTAATTCTTATCTAGGAAAAAAATTTTCATAGTTTTTTTTTTTTTTTCCATTCTTCAAAATCCTGCTTGGAGTACAGAAACTCCTTAGGAGTAGGTCCATGAGAACCACTGGACACAGCATAGCCTTGTCGGACTCAATGTTATTCATAGGCTTTGGCCCAGTTCTGACTCTGAAGCTTATCAGTCACACCCCCCTCCCTGAGAACACAAGGACATCTCAGCGCTGAAAACTCAGGCTCCAATTTTATGAAGACAAGCCAACTATAGTTTAGAGATAAGGAATTGGTTGGGTTTGGTTTTTTTTTCTTTTTTTCACCAAGGAAGAGACCAACTCTGTGGTGGAAAGCCAGCAAGGACAGCAAACCTACTGCAGCTTTGGGCTTTGAATTGTTTCTGGCTTAGAGACATTTGCCTCTCTGACAGAGAGATGCTCCTGCTTTCCTTTCTCTAATGGTCCCTCACTGCAGAAGGAGAAAAGTGCCAGTGGGTTTGTAAGACAGAGATTCCTACTTACTTCAAGTTGTGTTACTGAATAGCTGCAGCAGTGCTAGTTATCAGTGATTTTTGCTTGCAACCCTTTCAATGAAATTAATATTTATATGTTTGTAACTGTACATTATGCAGAGTAATCGTTACCATGGTATTTATTTTAAAACAATAGTTCCCTTGTTCTTTCTTGTCCAAGTGTTTTGGTCTTGCCTGTTTCCCTCCCTCTTAATCAGCCTCAGTAGAAAACAAATACCAGAAGAATGTTCAGCTTGCTTGAAAAACGTCATTGAAACAACAGCACTTGCTTTGCTGACATCAACTACTGACATTTAATGCACAATAACCTGGTTTTCATTATTGCAAATAGATCATCTATTTAGAAAAACCTCAGCTCAGGTTGGGTTTTGGGGCCGGGTTTTGGGTTTTTTTAGTTCTTGCTATTTCTGACTGAGTGGGAACAGCCCTAGCTATGCCAGATCTGTGCTCAGTAGCTGGCACGTCCACTGCACCCCTAGGAGATAGGCTCTAGTTTTTCACCTACATTTCACCCCCGCGCATACATGTACACACAAACAGTTTTATGACCCTTTTTGTTTTGTTCACACAAATCTTAGCAAGTCAGAATCCAGAAAAGGGCTTATTTTAGACTCTGGTAAATATTTTATTAAAAGCTGATTTTAAGACAATCGTGTTTGCCTCTTCTTATTCATATTGTAGGCTGTACTTTTGTTTGACCACAGGTTATGGTGAGGACAGAAGTCATGTCTGTACCAGTAAAACTAAAGAATTCAGGAACTCCAAGGAGGCTTATCACTCGTTTTCTACCTTGCTGCTTACTGGGATATGCCCTAGTTGCGCCTGAGAGATGAGCTGGCTGCATTTTGTCAGGTTTGCAACAGGTTCCAATAAACAACAGGCTTGGTCACATGTTCCATAAGAAACAGCTCTTGAATTGTGTGTGACACTACACAAAAGAAGGGTGCAGTTCTAGAGTGAGGGTTTTCTTAATTACTTCTTTCAATATTTCCCATCAAGAGACATAATAATCTTTTTAAAAATCCATTCATACAATTTTTGCCCCAAAGAAATTATGGATGCCATAAATAGGGATGAGCGAATGGGATTTTTACACTTGTTACCAGCAATGAGCTGATATTACTGTGGTGTTGCTTATTTGTCAAGCCAAGAATGTATTTGCTAGAAAAGCCAGTGCTTTACATTCTCTTGACAGAATATTTTAGTTCAGGAGAGTACCTTTCACATAGGTACCTCCTAGTACTTTTGAAATGTTTAGAAATTTGGTTTTGCAAGCGCCTGTTCTTTTTCAGTTTTAGGTGAAGGGATTATGCATTCAAGGACAGCAAGCAAGTCAGTAGCAGAAAAAGAAACAGAACACAAATAGCCATCAGTCTGCAAGATGTAGGTGTATTGGCAAGAGCATCCCTGGGAATATGTGACCAGATGTGAAGTTGCATGCGGTGTCCCAGTAACAGATCCATACATGTTCAGCTCTCCACATCTTGACTGGACTCCTCACCTCTCAAAGAATCCCATGGCCCAGGTTTATTCAGTTTTAGCTGTGCAGGCAGGAGAAAGGACTTGTCTTCTGGGAAATACTGCTCACTGCTCTGGATGAAACTTGTGGGATCCCAGACTTGTCTTCATCTCATCCCCGATGCACGTTTTGAGTGCCTTGGGAGCAGGGAGCTGGGATGGAGGCTTACACCAGTGAATCTTTGGAATCTTTCTGAGGGAGTGTTTCCTTGGAGGTTTTTAGGGATGTGGTGTTTTGTTTTCGGTGACTGTAGAATCTCCTCCTCACCTTATCCCTGAAGTCTTCAGAAACGTAGTAGTAGACAAAGGGATCAGCGCAGCTGTTGAAGGTACTGATGGCCAGGCTTACCATGTAGCTGATGTACAGGTTGCCATACAGCTTGGAGTTATAGCTGGAGTAATGAACAAGGAGGAGAACGTTGCTGGGTGTGTAGAAGGCCACAAGCGTGAACAGCACGAGCGCTGTAAGCTTGATAGCGTAGGCGTACCGCTTCCCACTGCCCAGGAGGGCTTGCAATACCGAGCAGTAGCTGAACAGCATCACTGCCAGAGGAGCGAGGAAAGCACAGGCAATCAGGCAGATGAAGTAGTAGAAGTAATACCTGTCATCCTCGTGCCTGGGGAGAACATCGTGGCAGAGAGTGGCATCTGCCCCGTACAGGGGATACGACTGCTGCTGCAGAGTCAGGGGCAGGGTGAGGACAGCAGCACAGAGCCAAATGGCCGTGCAGGTGCAGGCAGCAAAGGCAGGGGTGCGGAAGGAACGTGAAAAGAAAGGATGCACCACAGCCAGATACCGGTCGACGCTGATGCAGGAAAGCAGCAGCACTGAGCAGTACATGTTCCCGTAGAAGAAAGCCGTGGTGAGCCGGCACAGGCCTTCTCCAAAGAGCCAGTTGTTCCCCAGGAAATAGTAGAAAATCTTGAAGGGCAGCACCGATATGAGCAGCAGGTCTGCTGCAGCCAGGTTCATCAGAAAGACAGTGGAGGTCAGCTTCTCGGCCCTGGTGGCCAGGACCCACAGGGCCAGCCCGTTTGAAGGCAGCCCCACGAGGAAGACGAGGGTGTAGAGGCAGGGGATGAGCCGCACCGTGACCACGCTGCCCAGCTGAGAGCGTGTGGCCTCGTGTATCAACAGGTACGTGACGTTGTTTATCGTTGCCTTTTCCCCGGGGATGGCTCGGGGACACGGTGTGATTTCTGGTGTCGTTACCTGCTCGTCGGTGCTGTTCTGAGAGTAATCTGTCAGATAAACACAGTCTGTTACTTGCTGTTTGCGCAGTTACCCTTGTCCTTGGCAAAGCAGGCTGCATACATAACGCTACCCCAAAGGCTACGGTTTTACATTTTACATTGGGGTCCCTAGAAGTGGGAGAATTCTGTAAAATGCTGTTGTGTGATGGGCAGGAAAAGCTGGCAAACAGAATTAGTGTGCGGGAGTAACCATCAGCAGCCTTACGGAAAATTTACACGATTCCTCTCTCGTGTGGTTTCCCACAGCTCACAAACGATTGCTGTGTTGTACAACTATCAGCAGGCCTGGAGAACCAGAGAGCAATTCCCCTGCCCGGCTTTCAAAGGAATCCTAAGATCTGTGGCCAGTCCAGGGTAAATCATGGCTGTGGGAGTCACTTTTAGCTAAAGATTTTGTTTTCAAGCGCTCTCTGCTTTATTTCTCTGATTTTTCTTTCTATTTTCTTCCACCCCAGTTTCTATCACCTTCTATTACCTCCTGCTTCAATTAGAGTATGCACGAATCTCAATTAGAGCGCGCTGCCATGTGATAGCTTTAAAAAATGAGTTTTCAGGGATCTTACAAGGGTACTGAGTATCCAAGACTTTAAGAAGAAGCAATTTTTCATGCAAAGATGCACACTCACCATCGTAGTCTGGAGAGGCCAGGCAGAGTCCCCAAAAGGCGCAGCACAGCACAAGCCCGTGTGACAGCCGTCCGCTCCCGAGGGTCTCCATCCTGGGGCAGGACCCGACAGCGCACTGCTGTGCTCGGAGCCGTGCGGGAAAGGCAGTGCTAGTGACCCTGCTTACGCATTTCCTTCTGTTAGTCCTTAACTCACGGAAGCACCAGGCTTATCCCATGAAGGATGAGGCATATGAGGGGCTGTCACGACATGCACGAGTCTGCGTTGCCCAAGCAGAGCTCGGCCCCAGTGTCAGACGTGGGACTGGGAGGGGCATACGTATCCAGACCCACAGTATATTGGGGCCGTACTTCATCGTCAGCGCTAGACGATGGCATGAGTGACTCATCTGAGTCTCCTTCCGGCTCCAGAATATTCCTGGAAATAACAAACGTGGTCATATTTGATGCAGTTTGAATTTGGTTTAGAGTGTAAACTGAGCTTCTGACCTCCTACGTCAAGCATCCTTCCACCCACGAGAGACCCAAGTGGCTCTGCGTGAGATCTGAGGTCTTTCCCCACACCCTGATTCAAAGTGCTTTCCGGTAGTGCAGACTGAGCGGATACCATCCCCTCACAGAAACAGAAGTGCAGGAGAGCTGCAGATCCAGGGAAACCTCCCCAGCTCCCAGGAATTACACAGGGCTCTCGCAGCCTCTCGTTGCAGCAGTTAAGGGGTTTTAGCGTTTGCCTTGCAGCCCCCAGTTCAGGCTGGGCCTTTCAGAGTTCTGTGTCTTTATTTCTGCTCCTGCTCCCTGTCTAAACAGGGGACAAAGATCCGGCACCTTCCTTCTTGATCCCACTGCAGAGGCTGATTAGAAGTCCCGTGGGTTGGAGCTATTTGCGTTTGAAAGAATCAGCACTGGCACCAGCCTGGAGTGCCATAACATGAAAGGCCAAGTGGCGAGGTCTCACGCCTTGCGGGAGACGCTGCGCGTCCGCTGATAAACTACTGGGAACAGGGAGAGCAGCTCTGTCCAGCCGGAAAGGGGCCTGACAAGGGCGCACAGGAAGACTCTGCTGGTGGGCAGATAATGGTGAATTTCGGTCACTCTTGCCCAAGAAGAGCTGTGTTTTTCCAGAGATGTGCAGCCTCCCCTCAGTAAAACCCCACAGGGTTGAGCACTCTGTAGCGGCTTGGAGCAGCGGTGTGCTGCCACATACCTGCTGCTTATATGGAGAAGACGACTCACATAACGTTGTAAGAGGGACTGGCAGATGTTACCTGAGCCTTTAAGATCCTTTGCTGCTTGGTTGCCCCTTCTTTAACTCCTTGAGAGTGTCAGTCCCTTCCATGCCCTGCTGGAAAAGTCCCAAATCCTCTCCCGTTGCCTGCGGAAGGGCCCCAATGTGACCCAGTGGCCATCAAGTGGGTAGGCAAGCAAGGCAGGAGGCCATAGCTTGAGAGGCTGCTGGTTTTTAGGCTTTTGCTCTCCAGTCCCCATCCTGGCTCTGCGAGGGAGTAAAGACAGAAGCTGGAGTCCGGGCAGTAGGAACTGTAAATTTGGTTTGGCAACCTGAGGAGTAGCTCATTTCTTTCTCCTCAGCTTATGAATGGCCTCTTCTGTGAAGGTTGCAAATCTGAGCCTGGCTGCTGTTTGATGAGATTCTTCTATTCCAAGGAGAAAATGATCCTATTTCCTTTGCTTTCACCATATTCCCACATCCTTGTGCCGAGCGTGTCGAGAGGTGGAGTTCCACTGGCAGGGACAGGGAAGATGCAATGTTAGATGTTTTGCTTTTGTGATTCTCTCCGGATTTATGAACCATTACAGAATGACTCATGCGGCCACATATTTTCCATGCCTCAGCCAGGATCCTTTCCATGCTCTGTATGCAAAAAATTAGACATAATCAGGTTCAGATAGTGTGCAAATCACAGCCCTGCTTCCTATGGCCAGGTCTCTGGAGTGGAGCAGGGAGAGGTTACTCCTTGCTGTATCCTTCATTTTTCAGATGCTGTGTGATCTTTAGTGACTGCTTTAGATGCAGAACAGCTTGCTTGAAAATTCTAATGCCAGAGGTTTGTCATGGCTCGTTAACATCTCTTTAAGTCGTGTGATCCCTGCCCTGTGGGGTAACAATTCTGTTTTAAAGTAATTCATTGAGCAATAGATCATCTCCTGGGAGAAGGCGCTCTTTTATTCCATGGCTCTGAACCCAAAAGATGTAATGCTGGAAAACAGGCTAGGGATTTTAAAGCTCAGAGGGCGGGTACAAACACCACCTGGCCTGTCCCAAACATCTTTAAGGCTTGGAAGAGCAAACTGTGGTAGGCAAATAATGGGGCTTGCTATTTCTGCTCTGGTCCAGCGGCGCCATAGAGTTCTTCAGCTACAAGCCAGCAGGTGCGAAGACCGAAATCTCAGCGCAGCTAATACCTGCCCCAGGCTGAGCTCGGTTTGCGATGCAGACACGAGAGGCAGCTCACCATGGAGGCAGCAGCTCGGCCCTAGCGCCAGCAGCATGCAGCGTTTCCATCGGTGTCAGCACAACCTCACATTTTCCAGGAACACAATGCTGGCCCTGCCTTTCCCAGCCGCTGGCTGTGCAAGCGTCGGAGCCTTCTCAGAACCACAAGGCACAGAAAGCTTCCACCAAGCAGTGAAATAGAAACGATGGTCCTTTGAACCAGGATTCCCCCACCACAGATTTGTCTTTACAGGCTCTGGCACATACAAGATAGCTTCGTGCTTTGGGCACTCTCCCTGACTTTCCCATCACTCCAGCTCCCCTTCCTCTCGTTTCGCCAGGTCTCTTACCATCACTCCGAGACTCTCTGCAGCTCCAGGGAATCTCCCCGCCTCTTCTCTGCTGCTTGTTCCACAGTTCTCCCGTTCCACTGGGATCCCACCCAGTCTTGTCCCTCGGTTATGCCACTCCTTTTGTGCTCACATGCTCCTCACTGGTTGTAAGCCTTATGCTGGTGCAATACTTTTGGGGAGACAGGGCTTTTTCAAACTACTCTTATGCTTGCTTGCAGTTTTCACTTCAGAATGTAGGAAGTCCACGTGAAGCCATTTTTCAGGAATATTTGAAGTTTATTAGCATCACTGGAACTCATTAGAGGACCTGGAACAGCTTATTTTTGTCCTTTCTCAGCAAGAAAAGGACACCAGGCTAGGGGCTACCTTGCCTGATACACACAACATCCTCCCTTTTCAGCACTGGGGCTCAGATGATTCTTTTCAGATTCATCCTTTAGCACAGGTATGGTTCAGAATTGCTAGACTTTAATTTAGTCTTTAAGCTTAATTTTGGTGAGTGGAAGGTGGAGCATACCTCTAGTTTCACTGAGGTTGAGTTGGTTTTAATCCAGAGGAATGGCTAAAGCATGAAAAAACTCAAGTCATGTTTACACACGTACTTCTAGACTACCTCTCAGTGGGTTGCAGCCCTGTCTGTCTCTCTGTACATCACTGTGATACGGAAATGTGTGAAAAAAAAACCGCCCTGAAATATTAAATACTGGATTCAGGTACTCCTTTTAGCAATTCATAATTTAATTTAGAAAACCATTAATTGTTATCCCATCCCACAAACCTGAAAGGTATTTTAAAGCTCTTTGTCGTTGCCAAAGCTGTCCACTTCCCGAGATCTCCAACTGCTCGTGGGTGATGTCAGATCTGGCTGTCCCTCCCCTTGAGCACAGGGAATGTCCTCTTTGTGAGAAGTCCAAGATCTCCGCGAGAAGACTTGTGTGAAGCAGACTGTGTCCTCTGAGACACCACTACCATCATTTTAATCAAATTATTCCATGCAATTTATGCATCAGAGGATTGTTATTAGAACAACAGTTTGTTTCCCTGTGAGCGAGTAATACGCTGTGCAGAAAGCAGAGTTGCCTTTTGTTATGGCAACGGAAGCGTTGAGAATGATGTAAAGGAAACTCCTATCAGATCTGGGTCACATCACTACAGCTTAATTTGCAAAATCTACACATTCATTTGTGGTGCAGAGCTCACAGGGAACACAGTTAAACATGTTATTACCCAGGAATTTGGGGAGGTTGAGGGAAAGGCGGGTGGAGGGTTATTTTCATGGTTGCAGTTGTATTGTCTTAACCTGTAGCAGATGTGCTTATAGATTTCCGAACTGGAATCAGTCGCTTTTCTTGAATGCCTGTTGTATTTAGCGTGCGAGTTCTTGGGGGCCAGGCCTGGACCATATTTTTGCGCCACACCTCTCATGGCAAAGGTGCTGCTAGAAATAAACCAAGCTGCAAAAAGATAACGCTTTGCTGGCACTACATGGCCTTTTCTTTTGAAACCGATTTCTGGGTATCTCTGCATGGAGCAACTCTGCCACCCCATGGGCTCCCCAGCTCCGTCCCGGCTTGGCAGCACACGCGTGTGTACGTACAGAGCTGCAGGATCTCCTGCAGCACCCTACTTGCAGGAAACTTCTTTCCCTTTTGTGCTAGCTCCTGCACTGGCTTACATCCACTTACCGTGCACTAACTTTTCAGCGTGGGTATGGTTAAAGATTTACTGCCGGCCAGAAGTGAGCTGGCACACATCGGCATCGAAGATCCTGCAGCCTGGCCTCCAACTGCTTGAAGGGAAGTTGATCCAACTTCTCAGTTGCATTTTTCCACCATTTAAAATTCAGTTTCAGGTGGAAGACAAGAAATTCTGGGGCTTATCAATAAGTTTAAATTATTTAAAACAAATTTAAGACAATGAGAGCTGCAGACTTTTAAAATCAATATTTTATTTTACTTGAATGTGCAAATAAATATAAAAAAAACTACATTCAAAGAGCTGGCAAAGCAATTACAAGCCCAAAAGCAAAGATCCTTCAAAAAAATGGAAGAACAAACTCTTGAATCAAGGTCGCGCTAGGAGATACACAGCGGTTGAGCTTAAACTCTCAGACATTAGCAAGCCCCTCTCAAACCTGCACTGCCTGCTTATTCCATCCACATCATTTGCTACTATCATTTTTGAGACAATAGCACTGTAGAGGGTGAAAGTCTTACCTAATCTGTTCAGATTATAAATTAAGGTTTACAAAATAAGGATGGTTACAAATACCTGAAGTACACTTTAA